GTCACGCACATAAATCGTTGTCTTTTCTAGAAAAGACAACAGTTAAAAACTGTTGTCTATTGAGTATTGTTGAAACCGGTGTTATTGAAAGTCACAGACATAAACAACAGTTAAAATGCACATAAACAACGGTTAAATGAGTCAAAGCCTACACACACTTGCATATTCATTTATCTTGTTCAAACTCTTTTATCACTCATCAACATATGCAAATAAATTTAGTATATGTGTATATATGATACTTTAATTATAATATCTACTATATATACTAATAAGAGCCCAAGAGAGTTAGGCCTATAATGGGTAGAAAAAATGGCGGTCACAGATTTTAATCAAATGAATGGCTCAGATTAATTAAAAGATTGATCAGATTTAAATTTTACACTAAAATTTCCTAAAATACTCACACACCGTTACTAATTCCGTTAAAATTTTAAGAATTGCCGTTAGTTCACCGTTAACTTACTCATTGATTTCAATAAAAAAAAGGTTTTAGGTTCGAACCTCATCCCAATCAAAGTTGGCATAATTAGTACTCTATTTTACTCTTATTAAATTATATAAATAATAATTTAGTAGTTACAACAAAAAATAATACATATGCATTTCTTTAATTTAGAATTATGTGTCCACAATGCCTTTATTCAAAAAAAAATTATTCATTATCAATCAATTAAATAAGAGAAATAATTTTATTAGTTACATTGTCTTTATTTTTCTTCAATATAAAAATTCTTTATATTCAAATTTATTAATTGATTATATTCGCTACATTATCCTTACAATGTCTTTATTCAGTGAATTTTTTTTTTATTAATTATCAATAAATTAATTAAAAGAAATATTTTCATTAGTTATATTGTCTTTATTTTTCTCAAATGTAAAAATTTTTACATTCAAATTCATCCATGGATTATATTCACTACATTATCTATTATCTTTTTTGTGCACTATTTTTCTAATTAAATATCAAAGTTATAATATAAAATAATGCTATATATTTATTTACCAAGTATTTTATTAATACCATGAAAAAATTAAAAATATATAATTAATAAAGTCAACCATATTAACTACTTGAGAGATTTTGTGACAACGAGAGTATTCAAATCACACAACAAATTAAAGTGAGAACTACCTCGCAATGTCCTTGTTTGACAATCAGCAGTTAGCGGTTAGCGTTAGCGGATTTGACCAGCGAATTTATTTAATTATTAACATTGGGTAGAAAAAATGACCGCCAAATTATTAAATCAAATGAATGGTTCATATTGTTCAGGTTTTAATTTTTTCTTTTAAGATTTTCTAATTTATCCTTAATTATATGATTATCCATTTAACTTTTCCGTTAATTCACCGTTAGTCTAATTCTAATATTAAAGTCTAATATAGAATTATAACTACACCATTAATCTAATTCTAATATTAAAGTCTTAATAGAACTTAACCACAAATCCTAATGTCGGAATCTCCTCAAACAATATTAGTATATATTTAATATTTTATGTCCTAATTTTTATTTGTTCTCCCTTATGTCCCGTATTTGGTTTCAACCATACCTATACAATTATTTTATTGACAATTATAATCAATCTTGACTATATTATCTTGCATTTGTAAACTTAGAATTACCTATTTAACCCGCACGGGCTTAGCTCAATGGTTTAGTGGGTAGTATTTGGGAGAAGAGACGAAGGTTTGAACCTCGGCAGCGGCAGTGCGGGAATTATGTCCAAAGTGGACAAATTCCTTGTGCGTATCAGCATTTGGCCATGTCTGCTGAACCATTGAGTCATCGTGATTTACAACTTCCCACAATGCTCTGTCGGGTCGGAGTGTGGGGGGCCCTTGGGGTTGGGGACTCAACCTTTGGGAGAAGAATTACCTATTTAAATACGCAAATTCAACCTTCAATTATCTATGCATGAACAATTTCAATATAATCCCGCCTTAATATACTTTAAAGTACTTATTTAAAAAAAAAAAAAAAAGCATTGAGCATTATCCCAGTCGCGCAATGCGCGTAAAAAACTAGTAATATAATATGTGTATAACATTTTTAATTGGCAACAACTTTTAGCATTTGCATCACGAACCTTTTCAATGTAAAGGACTTTGATAAGAAATTTTGCAAGGAAATAAAAGTTTAAATAAAATTTTTGAGTTTAGGGTATACCATGAGATAGAAAATAAAATAAATAAATTTTACTCGATGCTAAATATGGCCATTTGAAGAAAAAAAAAGAAAGAAAGATACAATGCGTGATGTGAGAGGATATATTATATCCCACCTCTTCTCCAAAGAAAATGTTCTCTCCGGAGCATTAATCTTCCCTTCCCATATCTCTTTTTCTCATCTTTCTTCTAGAGATATCTAATTTAAAGAATTTCGGTCACTAGAATATGACCACAATAAATTTCATTGTATGTTGGCTCTAACTCATTTATCTTAGCTTGTTAGAATTCTTTTATCATTAATCAACATATGCCAAAAAATTAAATATGTATTAATTATATAATACAATATAATTTAACATGTATGTAACATTTTTAATTCTAATAAATTTTAATCATTTTAAACTTTCAAAAATTGCATCGAGAACCTGTTATGTGTAAAGAAGCGTGAAAAGAAATTTAGGAAAAAATAGAAGTGTAGAAAAAATTTGAGAGTTTAATCTATATGTAGAGATAGAAATTAAAAAAAAAATAAAAAAAAATTGCCTCAATGTGACCATTTGATGCAAAAATATAATAATTTTTTTTAAAAAATATAAACACACGATGGTTGAGGATAACTAATCCCATCATCATGTGAGCGTGCATGCACGTAACGCGCACACACTTCACTGGTGTGTGTCTGTATGCGCCAATTACCTACCACCTATTGCTCTAAAGAGAATGTTCTCTCTAGAGCATTAATCCTCCCTTACCCATCCCTTTCTCCTAGGGACGAAGATGGCCTAATTCAGATAATTTTGGTCACTAGAATATTACCACAATAAATTTTTTTATATGTAGGCTTTGACTCATTTATGCTTTTAGAACTCTTTATCACTAATCAACATGTGCCAATAAATTAAATAGGTATACATATGTGAAAAGCCCTCAATGATATCCTTCCCACTACTACGAACTTGATTATTAAAAGAGTGAAAGTAGAACATCTTGTCCTATCTGTGATCTTGGTTATGAGAATACAATGCATGCACTCCTCTTCTATGACTTTTCTCAACTAGTTCGGAATGAATATAATTCACCATACCTATCTCTAGTATATCTCGCAACACTTTTAAGTACTATTACGTAGTTAATTATAAAAGTTTTTATAATTTTTTACTATTTTTATATCTAAATTACTAAGTTTAATTATTTTAAAAAATTAACAATTTAGTTATTATATTTGAATATTTCTATTGTTTTATATTTTAGTATAACTAATGGATTTTAATTATTATCTTATTATATGTAAGTAATTTAAATATTATTATTTTAAAAAAACTAATAAGATGATAAGTGGTGGGTGCCCTAGTGAGCACCCGCATCCGGTGGAGTTGGGATGGTTTTGAAAAAATCCATCTGATGCAGGTTGGAGGTGGGGGTGGGTGGAGAGAATATAAGGTGGTCGGGTGATGGATATAGCCCTCCCCAATCCACCCCCGACCGATTGTCATCCCTATCAGTGCACACTCAACATGTAGCGAGCGAGCATGCTGAGGACCGGAATTATGTATTTATGTCCCCATACTATCTTCTCTATATTGGCCGCATTAAATGTATTGGGAGGAGACTTTTGAAGATCATCTTCCCTAATAAGCAATTAGACTGGAATCGTTAGATCACATTATCACAAAAACAGTAGTATAATACACCCAAATAAGAGGTACTCCAATATGAACAAATATTATATTGTAACAGAGTTAGTAGTACTAAAAAAAATTAGAGTTGTAATTCTAACAACAAAACTGCAAGGGTTTCTCCAATTCTCTCTCGTCTCTGGTTTCCGACCGCTCAAATTTTTACATGGCCGCCCCTCTGTGAAGCAAGCGGATCAGAGGCAGCGTCTGATCGTCTTCCCATGCCGCCATCTCCACCGCAGACAGCGTTTGCCTTCATTGTCTTCTCTTCCATTCTCCGCCTTCGCCACCAGTTACGCCTTGCCCCACCCCCTCCATCTCCACCGCTACCGGTACTCCATTATTTTCGCATTGTTGTTTCCCTTTGCTTTGTTTTATTGGTTTAATTTTGTTTGTAGTTTTTGTGTTTTTTCCTCTCGTTGTTTGGACGAGTTTCTTCCTCTTGTTTACTTGGCGAGTTCTTTTTCATAAAGTGTAAAACGATAAAACTGGCCATGACGTATGTGAATCTCATCATGGATGACAAATATGACAATGAAAAAGACTCTCATGTGAACTATGATATGCAGTTCAACCCAATAGAGATATTGTCAATGGATAGAAGAATGCAAATAGATACTCAGGATGTGCAAGATTATATAACCCGTGTTCGTCTTGATACGTTTGACCAAATCATTAAGAAGTTTTAAGTTTCTCGAAAGAATTCAGTTTTAAATTTGTGAAACAGTCTGCGAATCAAGTTATTTATATGTCAGACGGTAAGAAATATTTTACCATTTCATCGATCTTTATTGTAAACGTTTCGGTCTATAATAAATGAATTAGCTTCTTTATTTTGAAAAGAAAAAAAATAAAAATAGAGTTGACCCACCATTTTTATAAACATTTACGATCCCTTTTCCAATCGCAGCCCTACGCTACATGCCAGAATAAATCATAACGCATGCGTAGCTACATCTGGAGGTTTATATATATCACAATTATTATATATTATATTATAATCGTAAGCGCTACTTTCAAAAGAGTAGTTATGACAAACAAATCGGAAATTAGCTGTCAAACACCAGTGACAGTGAGATCTGTTTGACTAGAATTCTTGAATTAATTATAACTAATAATGACTAGATTCACTTTGTGAAAGAACAAACACCACAGATTCAGACAAAGCTTTTACGCTGTGTAAAAATGGATAGGTGCAACGATGTTAGTGATGAGGTTGCTGTTGTTATGGTCCCTCTTCCTGCGCAAGGCCATCTCAACCAGCTTCTTCAGTTCTGCTGCATATTCTCCTCCCATGGACTCCCTGTTCACTACGTCGGATCTGCCATCCACAACCAACAAGCCAGACTTCGTGCAAATGGCGGCTTAGACCCCAACAAAATAGCCAAAATCCATTTCCACGATCTCCCAACTCCAGATTTCGCTTCCCCATCCCCCAACCCCAACGCCTCCTTCAAGTTCCCCACTCATTTGCAGCCAACCTGGGATGCCTCGCAGCTTCTCCGCCACCCCACAGCGCGTCTTCTCCGGGAATTAGCGTCTAAAGCTAGAAGAATCGTGGTTATTCATGACTATCTGATGTCGTACGTTGTTCAGGATGTGGCGTCAATCCCCAACGCCGAGTCCTATAACTTCAATTGCGTTTCGGTTTTGTCTATGGTTTCTTACATGTATCGAGGATTAGGAAAGAAGTTTGTCGCAGATGGGGAGTTGAGAGAGCTAATGCCACCTCCTGAGGGGTGCACAACTGATGAAATTGTGAAGCTTGGGATTGCTCAGATGGAGCATTTGAGTGTGAGAAGTGGAGATATTCATAACTCCAATAGGTTGATTGAAGGTCCATTTATTGATTTATTGGAGCAAAATGAAACAGCCCAGAAGTGGAAGAAGCAATGGTTTATAGCTCCCATACTCCCTGCAAACCCAAACTTAAACTCAAAAAACCCCAAAAATCCTAATCCATGCTTAGATTGGCTTGATGAGCAGCCTCAAAGCTCAGTTCTATACATTTCATTTGGCACCACCACTTCAATGTCTGAAAGGGAGGTGAGGGAGCTGGCGTTGGGATTGGAACATAGCAAACAGAAGTTTCTATGGGTGTTGAGAGATTCAGATAAAGGCGATATCTTTTCGGGTAAACCTCGAGAGATTGAGCTGCCAGAAGGGTTCGAAGAGAGGGTGAAAGGAGTGGGAATGGTGGTTCGGGACTGGGCGCCACAACCCGAGATCCTGGCCCATCGGTCCACTGGAGGGTTTATGAGTCATTGCGGGTGGAATTCATGCATGGAAAGCATAACTTTTGGGGTTCCAATAACTGCTTGGCCTATGCATTCTGACCAGCCCTTTAACAGTTTTTTGGTTGCACAGGTTCTCAAAACAGGCTTGATGGTGAGAGAATGGGCGGACCGCGGAGAGGTGGTGAATTCATCAGCCATTGAGAATGTGGTGAGGAGACTTATGGCATCAGAAGAAGGAGATGAGATCAGAAAGAGAGCTCAGAAACTTGGGGAAAATGTAAGAAAATCAGCACAAGAAGAAGGGGTTTCTCAGATGGAACTCAACTCTTTCATTGCTCATATCACTAGATAGATAGACTGTTTATTTTTAGTGTATAATTGTTGATTTGAAGTCTGCAGGAGTTAGATAATCTCCTGTTTTAAAATATATTGCTTTGCTTTATGTTACAAGAATAATTTTTCTTCAAGGTCCTCTGCTAGATCATATGGAAAAATATTGTTTTAGATTTCTTCAAGCTACATTCATTGCTCAAACTGTTTAGCTCCATTCTAGTTTAAAATACAAATTCCACTTAAGATGGGACCAAGGATTTTGGGTCTGTTAGGCCTGGAAATGATGTATTGGGCCAATAATCCACCATAATTGACTTGGAGTCCATTGAGTATTCATAATATGCTTAAGGCTCCTGTCTTAAAAAGAGTCTAGTACCTATTTATCTTATCCAAGTAAGCCTAGGATTAGCTTTAGGCCTTTACCTTGAATATGTTCGCATGAGTAGTTCAGTTGATTTCTGAGTGACAGATTATGGATAAGAATGTATGATCGATTCCTAACTTCCATCCAATGTAATGGGCTCTGAAAATAAATAAATAATATAAGCATAATAAATGAAATATATATATATATTCTACGATAAATACATCCCTAAAATAAAGTATAACATCCTAATTAAATTCTATCCCTAATTAAATTATATATATATATATATTCTCTATTATATGTTTATTAATTACCATTCTCTATTATGGATGCACACGCTTTGTTCTCGCGTTCTCACATAAGCAAATGTTCTCATTGGAATCCTACTATATATATATATATATATATATATATATATATATATATATATATATATATATAGTCTATTTCAGGTGAGAACCTATGTTTGGGTGTGAACTTGTAACTCCTATCTAACGTCTAGATGAGAGATCAAACGACTGAGATGTTTGGAGTGGTGCAGTGGTGTATCCGATGTAGTGGCGCAGTAGCGTATGTGCAGTGATGTATATTATCCATGGTTGCAAAAATCGCGCTTAGGCACTAGGCGGCGCCCGACAGCGTCGAGGAACGCCGAAATCGGCTTCCTCCGCGGCCGGGCGCCTAGGCGGTCTAGGTGACCGAACCTTTTTTTTTTTTTTTTTTTTTTTGAATAACCCCCTAAAAAATAAAAATAAAAAGAAAAAATAAAAAATCGGGCGCCTAGTGTCTTTTTCAACATTGATATTACTATGTCAAAAAAATTACTACGTATAAACCACAAGATCAATGGTGCACAATGGTACACAAGTTCACATGTTAATAGAGGTTCTCATTTAAAACTAAAGTTTAGTCCCAAATGAGAACCTCTATTAACATGTGAACCTGTAGTTTTAGTTATTTGTACTCTATTATAAATTGCACTTTAATGTATGTTCGTATTATTTATAAAAATGTTATTATCTATTTTTATATAATTATTACTTATAATTCGTTAAATATTTCTAGATAGACAATTTTGATTGGTTTCTAGTTCTTTCCTGGACGAGAGTGCGCTATCAAATAAATCTCCCTCTTCATCCACATCCAGACACACCCTCAAATTTAATATAGATTACATTGTATCTTGATTCTTGAATATATATTTAGATCTCTTACGCACTTATTGCAAAAATATAGACAAATAAAATTTAAAAAGTGATTTTATCATATCTTGAAATCTTTCTAATCTTAATATTTACAAATACTTACTTTTTTAGTAAAATATAATTTCAAAACGTAATGTACATTTGGTATGCCAAAGTTGTCGGTTCCAGCAGATCAAGGATTGAGCCAAACTATGTTATGGGTCAAAATGAATTGCAGAATTATTTTAAATTTTAAAATAATAAAAAATGAAATCTAAAAAATAAACAATCTGTCAACAAATATTTTATTAATTAATGCATTTCCTAGCAGACGACCATCACATGCAACCTGAGTTCTTGTGCTACAATATTGTCCATTTCAAATTTGTCCGGTAGTCCCTATTATATCTTTCATTTATGGATCTTCATTTATATTAAATTTTAGATTCCTTATGTCTTATATTATGTACTAGTCTTTTCTATGCGCGATGTCCAAAAACATATGCCCAATATTTATATTTTTAAAAATAGCTAACAAATTTTTATTAATTAAAATCTAAGTGAAATAAAATTTATTTATTATATTAATCTAATATATAATGGATATATAATGTTTTACACATATTGTTATAATTAAAAAATATAAGAAAAGATATGGTAGATGCATGTGCATGGTAAAAGTAATGGAAAAAATAACGGAAGTTATAACGGGGTAAGGGTATTTTTGTCCAAAAAATTGTATAGTACAACTCTAAAAGCACAATGTACAAAATGATTAGCATTAAAAACATTGACATAAATGAGGGGTATAACTTTGATTGAGACTTATTATGTTTTTAGATATGATTCGATTAATAAATTTTAACTTAAATTATTTATAATTTAATTTTTTAATATTTAATTTATCACTAATATATACATTTTATATATTTAAATATACATCAAAATGACTATTAAACATAAAAAAAAATTGATTTTTAAAAATTATAAGAAAGTGGTAAAGAAAATAACTAAAGTTGGAAGAGTGAATTGATTAATGGATAGTAAATATGACAGGTAAAATAAGACAAATATATTATTATTTAATATTTTTAATGAAATTAGTTAATTTAAAAATAATTATAAAACATAAATTATCATGATACTTAGTTTAGATAATTTTTAATGACATAAAACAGCTAAGATGTTTAAATAGTTAAAATAAGTTTGTATAATGTAATGTTACATTATTAATTAACCTCGAGAGAATCAAAGTACTTTGTAAATTATTAGTCCAAGAATTATTGATCTCACGATCGTTCCACGAACTTATAATAAAAAACGCTCACAATAATATGTATTAGAAAAAAATATAAATATATATTTTTTACAATAATTCATTCTTAATGAAAAATATCAATTATATCTTTTGAGTTTGAGAATAAAAGAGCAATCTCAACAAAGTTGATTGAATAATTTATCTTTTTTTTTGAATGCATTGAATAATTTATCTAATATAACTATAAGATAAGATTACGAGTTCAACTCCCTGTGAAACTTATCTATTAACCTACCATTGAGAACCCGTTAATATTGTGAACTTTAGATATATATTATTTTATCCTTTTATAAATATTATGGTATGTTATGAATTGAATGTCTTTACTATTTTGTTTGATTTAATTGTATATTTTTAAAAGTTGTTTCTATAGTTTTATTTTCTAAATAAAAAATTATATTAACATGTGGACTCGAAACATGCATGTTAACTAAGTGACATGCTAACTATAGTCGTGTTCATGTTTAATTTTATCGTGTTTGTGTTGTTATCGTTCAACCATTAAGTCGTTAACAAACTCATTTACATGAATTGTTTAAGTCAAATATTTTTCTATATATTATTGTACCTGACAATTCGTGTATAATTTTTGTATTTTAAAAAAACATATTTAATCACTTAAATAATTTATAAAAATTTTCAAATATATAAATATCATTTCCTAGTTTATAATTCGATATTTTTATTTATGACAATATAGAATATTTTTATATTTTAATAAATTTGGCCTTAATATACAAACTTCTCTTCATTAATGCATGTTGTCATTTGTCAAACTACAAATAATGCGGACGTGTCGGCTAGGCTGCTTCCTCGGACGCGGAACTGACTGTTCACGACCTTCGCCCAGCCTAACGTGTCGCAAAACTATTGGCCCATGAAAGTCTCCATGAAGCCTCCATTTACAATTGAAGTCCACGCTTGAACTGCCTCCGTTAGATCAAGATCGCCCGATAATCTTCTACCACGTGTCCTCATCAATTATTTCTCCAATGCTAGATTATTACATGTATATAGCCGTAGTACGAGCCACCAAATCCACAAAATCCAAAACAAGACTTCAAAACACATCTTTTTTTGATAAAGTCTGCACACAAACTTTTCTCTTTGTATAGTTTCTTCAATTCAGATTCTTTTTTTATTTTTGTTATTCGATCTTCAATGATCAATAAATCCAATGAATACCCTCGCCGGATTTTGAGTTTTCCGGCGATTCGTCCCAGCGAAACCGTCTCATTCCCTAGCCTTATTGCAGCCTTGATCCATTTAGGCCATGCCATACGTGACTACAAGTCAAAAACGTTCTTCACAAACAGGAAAAACGCAAACTTTTTGATGCGTTTGGTCGATGATCTTCTCATTTTTCTTCAAGAGATCCGAAATGGGGATTCAAGGTTTGCGGGATCAATGGTGTTGAGCTTGTCTGAGCTGCATTTTTTGTTCCAGAAAGTTGTGTTCTTGCTGGAGGATTGCACCAGAGAAGATGCCAGGATATGGATGGTGGCTAAGTCGGAGCAGGTGTCGACCCAGTTTCGGGTGGTGGCTAGAGCCATGGCGGTGGCTCTGGATGTTCTGCCGTTTGGTGGGAGCGATGAAGTGAGGGAAGTGGTAGAGTTTGTGAGAAAGCAAGCTATGAGGTTTAAGTTTGAAGTTGAATTTGAAGATAGGGGAATCATGGATCAAGTTCTGAGGATTCTTGAACAATTTGAACGTGGGGTTGTTCCAGAATCAAGCGATCTAAAATGGGTTCTTGAAAGTTTGGGGATAAGAAGCTGGAGTGAGTGTCAAAGTGGGGTAAGGTTCTTGGATTCTGAGATTTGTTTGGAGGGGCAGACTGAAGAGATGCGAGATTTGCCCCTTCTCTCTGGCCTAATGGGGTTCTTGATCTACTGCCGTTGTACCGAGTTTGAATTCGGGGATGTTTCAACCACCACCAGAATGATGACGTCATCCGGCGGTGGTCGCCGGAATGATGACGTCATCCGGAGCTTGAACCCAGAAGATTTCCGGTGTCCCATTACTCTAGAACTGATGACTGATCCGGTGACTCTTTCCACGGGGCACACCTATGATCGGTCTTCAATTCTGAAATGGTTCAAGGCTGGAAATCACACATGTCCTATAACGGGTGAGAGGCTAATCAACATTGATTTGGTTCCCAATCTGGCTCTGAAGCAGATCATAAGGCAGTACTGCAATGAGAATGGGATTCCATTTCCAGAATCTGTATCGCGAAATCGTGATGTGATAAGATCAATTGGTAAGGGTAGTGTGGCTATGAAACTGCTGGCTAGTTTTCTAGTTGGCAGGCTTGTGGCAGGAACAAGTGAGCAGCAGAAGAAGGCGATTTACGAGATCCGTTCCCTCACCAAAACCAGCACTTTTAACAGGTCTTGTTTGAGCGAAGCGGGTGCCATCCCGCCTCTCTTGCTTCAGCTCGGTTCGTGGGATTCGTCGGTTCAAGAAAACAGCATTGCTGCTTTGCTAAACCTGTCCAAGAATTCGAAAAGCAGGGAAACCATTGCTGAAAATGGAGGCCTGGTTTTGATTCTTGATGTGTTAAAAGAGGGGCTTAAGATGGAAGCCAGGCAGCACGCTGCTGGTGCGTTGTATTATCTCGCCTCGGTGGAAGATTACAAGGCGATGATCGGGGAAAACCCCGAGGCTATCCCATCACTTGTGGAGCTAGTAAGGGCTGGGTGTGATCATGGGAAGAAGAATGCCCTGGTCACAATCTTCAGCCTCTTAACATGTCCTGAGAACCACTGGAAAGTGGTTTCAGCTGGGTTAGTACCCGTGCTGATTGATCTGCTGCCGTCTCTCAAAAGGGAAGACCTCATAGCAGATTGCCTCGCGGTTCTATCCTCTCTGTCCGAGAAGCTAGAAGGCGCGATAGTTGTCCTCTATGCCGGGGCTTTACCCATCGTTATTGATATCTTGAACTCCTGCAGCTCAAGAACAGCAAAGGAGTGCTGTGTTTCATTGCTGCTGGCCTTGTGCATCAATGGTGGATCAGATGCGGTTCGAGTTTTAGTGAAGAACCCATCTCTCATGCCGCCTTTGTATTTGCTGCTCACCCAAGGCACTTCTCGGGCGAGCAAAAAGGCCAGTTCGCTCATCAGATTGCTGCAAGAATTCAACAACAAGACCTCCTCTAGCTTCATCAATCCACCTCTTCCTCAAGACCAATTTGTCAATGTCTGGTGATACTTGTGTACATTAATATGCTATTTATTTGTGTATAGTTTGACAAGTGTGTGACTTTAGCTCGAGTTTTTAAGAGCTAAAAAAGTCACTATTCCGTACGCCAAAGCTTCTTGTTTTTATATGAAGCTTTGCTTTTCACAGATACATTTTTTTTTTTTTTACAAATGTTAATAGCAATGAAAAGTCTGTTGTATATGTAAACAAGAACAGTTGTTAGTTTCTATCAGATTCAGAATAAGATGTTTCTTTTACTATGTAAACCGCTTTTCATCCACAAATATCTTTACAAGGATTACAATCTTAGGAACACTTCATATGTTGCCAATAACATTATAGCAAGCATTTGAGTGTTTTAAATCAGAGTATCATTATTATAGTACTACAATGGCAGAAAGTAAGGATCAAGAGACTTATCTCTCGTCGAAAAATGTAGGGCGTTTTCTAGCGTAGCAACCACCTTATCCATGGATGGTCTTTGCTGTTTAAGCCCAGTGCATGACAAAGCTAGCTTAAACATAAGTTCAAAGGCCCCTTCAGGGTATTCTCCACCAAGTTTGGGATCTGCAAATTCTTTGATGTTCTTACCCTTTGTCAGATTTTTTGCCTGAGAACAAAGAAGGTCATCTGAAAAACTGAACAGAAAATGCACAAGAATACTATTTGGATGTTGATGGAAAGTAGCCCACCATTTTGTTTAGAGGCATCGGGCGATTCGCATCTATGTTGATAACCCTCTGACCGGACAAGAGCTGCAGCAGAACGATCCCGAAACTATACACATCTCCAAACGAATTGACTCGACGATTCTTTTGATACTCGGGATCAACATAACCAAATGTCCCTCTTACTTCTGAGCTTGCATAGGAGTTGCCAAGGTCAATAACCTTAGATAGCCCAAAGTCTGATAGTTTACCTTGGAAGTTGGCAGAAATAAGAATATTTGTTGGCTGCAAACATATGCAGATGAGAAAAGTTAACTGTCTGTTGGGCAGATGCCGGTGAAGGGCTAAGTCCAGCACTCTGCCTCTTGAAACTGTAATGGTAGTAAGGAAATAAAAGCTGTGCCTTCGCTACTAGCTATAGCTTTTGGCGTAGTGATAAACGCTTGATCCTAACACTTCTGTATGTGAAGGGTGGGGGATGAGCTTAGAGCATATATGAACTACCTTGATATCGCGGTGAACGATGCACCCTTCAGGAAATGTATGGAGATACAACAGCCCCCTAGCACAATCTATTGCAATTTCAAGTCTTTGGGTCCAAGAAAGAACCTTATTTTTATCTGCTTGGTCATGCAGTAGTATATGATTATTAAGTGGAAATGTTATATATGAAATAGAAATGCCACAGTTTTAATATAAACAGCTTACCAAAAAGCCATTGAGAAAGGTTCCCATTGTGGCACAGCTCATAGACGAGAAAACACTCATTTTGTCCATCATAGTGACCTAGCAGGGCTACAAGGTTTGGGTGTCTGATGTGTGAGAGGCTTGTGACTTCCCTAACAAATGTTTCCATTTGTCCGTCCTTAATTATGTGCTTGATTGCGACATGCTGGCCATGTGACAGTACACCTTTGTACACCTTCCCTGAAAATAACAACATTCCGGAAAGATTTGATCCACGAAAAAGGAAGACAACCCCAAAAAAATAAAGAAAAGGTTATATAATTGTTGGGCGGAGGGTTGAAGGGTCAAGTTAAGGTGACAAGGGGATTGTTGGGCGGAAGTCTAAAGGGCCAAGTCCAATATCCTCCTCTCGAAAATGTGGCAGTATAAGGAAATACAATTGCGTCTTTCGTTACGAGTTATAACTTTTTGGCGTAGTAGTAAGCACTTGATCTAACAAGTAGTATTAATGCTTGGTCACGGGTGCAAAAATTGTGCAATTAAAACTGGCGAAATTGTTGGGAGGAGGCCGGTGAAGGGCCAAGTCCACCAGACAGATGAAAAGCAGGTGTTCAGAGGGGAATTGTTAGACGGAGGCCGGTGAAGGGTCAAGTCCAGCACCCGGCAGCTAGAGAGCAAGTGCTTGGAGGAATGGTAGGGTTGGAAGCCGGTGAAGGGCCAAGTCCAGCACTAGGTGGTTAGAGGGATTGTTTGTTGGGCATAGGCCGGTGAAGGGTCAAGTCCAGCACCACGCGGCTAGGCGGCAGGTGCTGAGAAAGGGAATTGTTAGGTGAAGACTGATAAAGGGCCAAGTCCAAAGCCGGTGGCTAGGGAGATTGTTGGGCTGTAATTGGTGAAGGGGAGTCCTGCACCAGGTGGCTAGGAGGATTGTTGGTTGGCGCATTTGCTACAAACCTAACAATAATCAATCTTCCTGAGTTGGCTATTAAGTGGAGTTTAATTTATTCTCACCAGCTATTCCTTGACCAATGAAGTGTGAAGCACTGAGATTGTTAGTTGCAGAATAGATATCTTTCAGTGAAATGTTCAAGGAGCTGGGTTCTTCAGAGAATGAATACATTGATACTGTCACAAAAAACAAAGTAGGGAGGACTAATTCATGATTTCGAATTAAGAGCTTCAAAGAGATTATTCCCAATTGTAAAGGGTGTAACCTGTTCCTGTTTTTATAGGTTTCTTTTGAGCCCTTTTCTGATACATGATCCACAATGCCACTGATATCACTATTATAATCCCCATTACACCACCAATAAGAATCCAAAGACCTGCAAGCCAGCAGCCCATATTATTTTTCCAAGTCTATAAACACATCAGATCATATATTGACTTCAAGATTACCTCTGCTATAGCCAATTGCCCGTCGTCCTGCCTCGCTTCCTTCATCTCCAGTAACAGATTCTGAGGAGTTCATCATTTAATAGAAGCCTTAGAGTAAAGATGATTAATTACAAGTGCAAAGCCATAAAGGGCATTAACAGAAGTATATGGTCACAAAAAGATTGTAGAAAAGTTAAAGACAGTTTCTTGTATGCGCAGTTACACTACAGACATTGAAAGGTTCATAAGAAGTTAGGAGAAAAAGGTGAGTGTTAAAGTAGAGTTGAAGTTTTTGAGTTATATGCAGAAGGCAGATGGCTAGCTAGAAGGGTTGTTTTCTTATTCTTCTTGCTCTTAAGGAATTGACTTTGAACTACAAATGCCAAATGGCATAGTATGATACCACCACCCTCTTTGAGAGAATTCTTTAATAAAAGTAATAATCTGAGTGAAAACAACATTTTATTTCCTTATTTGTGGTGCAGAAAACAACATTGCCGGACTAGAATAAGTCAGAGTAATGAGACTACAACTACTCGGCTTTCGGTAAAGAACAAAGGACTCAGAAACAATGCGAACAATAAGGCAATAATATGGTTTTTAACTTCTTTTTTTTGGACCTAAAATGAGACCAACATTTTTGGTTTGTCGGCTATGAATTACTCCCTATTATAATATAGAGCAATGCTACAAATCACTCTGTATTTTCTTAACAATTTTTTCCTCATGTGTCATGATTAGTAGTTAAATTTATTTATTAGTTAGTTAGTGGTGAGTTAGTCAATTTATTGACATTCAATGAATGAAAGCCACATCATAAGAGAGAAGTGCGGAGGTAAAAATTAAGAGGGAGGTAAAAATTAGAAGGGAAAAATGAACATTTTCCTATAATATATGCATTAGATTTTTGGTAAATTATTAGTTGTCTTACAAATCGGATTTTTATGCTTTCAACTTTAAGTATTTGGTCCATGGAATAGGTTGGGAATGAAATATCATTTTCAGGAATAAACATATTCTATTATTTGTCTTTGTCTTTTATTCCTGGGAAATAACATTCATGGGAATGAGCTATTCCCTTTGCAAGGGAAATAGCCATTCCTATGGCCCCCTGGTATTAGCTATTCAATTCCCAAGCACTCGATAATAACTTTGTATTATAATACCAAAAATACCCATATATATATATATTATATATATATATATATATATATATATATATATATATATATATATATATATATATATATAATTAGGTTCAAATGCGGTTGGTACGCCCAAGTGCGGTTTTGTAGTTAAATATGAGCCATTAATCTTGCTTAAATCAACGTCGAGGATTACCAAAATTTAAAAAAAAAAAAAAAAACGTGGTGGCAATTTGGTAATTTTTGCATCTAGGTCAAATTTAAGGTGCGTGGGGTTTGTGCTTAAGGTGCGTGTGTTTTGTGCTTAATGTGAGTAGTTGTTGACACTTAAGGTGCGTGAGTTTTGTGCTTAATATGAGTAGTTGCTGAAATTTAAGATGCGTGGTTTTCCTTCTTAAGGTGTGTTGTTTTTCTTCTTAAAATGCGTGATTTGTACGCTTAAGGTGCGTCAGTTGTGTGAAACTTGGGGAGCCATTTTAAAATCTTAGGTGCGTGGTTTGTGTTCTTAATGTGCTTTGTTGTGTGCTTAAGGTGCATGATTTGTGTACTTAAGGTGGGTAATTTCTGTTCTTAAGGTGTTTTGTTTGTGTACTTAAGTTGCGTGGTTTGTGTACTTAAGGTGCACCATTTTAATGCTTAAGGTGCGTCAACCGCACGGAAAACCATCCTCGCAATTAAGCTAAACATTCTTAATAATTATTATGGTAATTAAGCTAAACATGATTCGTTTGATTTATTTTTATAATAGTTATAATTAAATTATTTCTCTTTTTTTTTTCATTTTTATTTTAGTAATAATATAATTACATAAATCATATTGCATATCGATTTTTTAAAGATAATTGCATACAAACGAGTAATATATTATTCAATTAATTGAGTGATACTTTTGCACTAATCTTATAATCAAATAAATGTAAACTTTTAAATATTCGAATTGTTTATAATTTCATCTTTAATTTTATTATCTAAATATATAATAAAAATTTTATCCGTGCATCGTACGGGTAATTGGGCAATTGTTTGCTCGAATTCAAGCAAGGATAACATCATAAAACATAATCGATCTATCCCATTTCATCAATTGCACTATATAATATTCGTTGTTATAATTTATATAATTGTATAGCAATCGAAATATTTTTAAAATATTATAACAAATCCATTTCGTGCAACACATTAATAAAATTACTAGTATGATTTTTATTTTTTAATATTGATATTTTGTGCTTTTAAAAGTAGGGAGTTGAGTTTAGTAATATACAATTGGATGTGTTGATTGAATGAAAAAAACAAACAAACAAAATAAAACAACAACAACAATTAATGGTTTTTATATCGATGTTGAACTTTTTAGGTCATTATGAGCACCTTTAAAATATTTTGCATAGGTAAATGTCTAGTATTGTATCAAGCAAATCATGAATAATTAGTATTAAACATTTTAAGTCATTGTGAGTACTTTTAAAATATTTTTCATAGGCATATCTTTTGCATTGAATCAAGCAAATCATGCCCATTCACTATTTAAGTAGAGATTATATATAAATGATGTTAAATATGTATACTTTAATGGTGAGAAGTGTTAAAAAGATTGACCATAAAATAGGTTCATTTATAGAACACTACATACATGTTCATTTTGAGCCGCTAAGGGTCAATGTTAATATTAAGCTCATTTTGAATACACTAAATGTGAATTTTTAAAGTACTAAAAGTTCTTTTGTAAAAAAATAGACAAATTACATTTTTAGTCCCTTAGTTGACAGATATGCAATGTAGTTACAAACTTTCAATTTTTCCAATTATAACCAATTTAGTTATTCTGTAAAATTTTCATTTGTAATTTAAGACATGGACTTTTTAGAAATTTCACACTCCACTAATTATTTAAGGTATCATGAAGATGATAAAGATTTTTTAACCAAATGTTTCATATTCTGTCACCACTCCAAAATGATATTACATAAATACTAAATAGTTTCTAAAATTTAAATTTTACAATAACATATCTTGAGTATAATTTTATCTCTCTTGTTTCCCTCAGATCTCTGGTTTCACTCCTCTCATTTCCTTCAGATCATTGGAGCCGAGATCTCAATCCCCGCTGGTCATCTCCCATTGCTTCTCTCCAAAGTAATAAAAGACAAAACCAAAGGCCAAATTTGAGGAGTCAAAACCAAACGCAAAAAATGAGCCCAAATTACATGGCAAGAACAAAAAGGGCCATTTTCCCACTAAAAAGCCTATAAAATGATGTGGCTTTAAACATATATGATATATTGATATAAATACTATCCCAGTTTGCATCTAACTTCAGAAACAAAAACAATGCATTTAAGCTGGGTCAGTATTTGACCAGGACATCCGTGCAATGTCTTTCATTGAGCTCTTCTCAATGATCAATAAGTGCCAACTATTATATAGTATGATAATATTATTTTATTTCAAATAATAGGTGATATGGATATTTTCAACACACAAAAAATTTATTTTCTAATTACTAAATGTCCTTAAATAAATTGATAAAAATTTATTATATAAGTAAATTCATTTTCCTAAATGGTTGTGGAATGTTACTTGTCACTACAAAACTAAACTCATTTTCCTTATGGCATCTCTTGATTTGTGAGTATTACTATCTTGTACTCTTAAAATATAATGTTAATAACCAGTGAATTAGGTAATCACTAGTTTGTAGGAAGTTCATCATTTGTTTTATGTTACTACTTTGCATGTTGTTAAATTTACTATCATTTCCCGAACTGATTAATATAATCTTGATTATCAGAATTGCATTAAATCATGAAATAGTTATAAAAAATTCATCATCTTGTTTCCTCCTCCATTTAGCATCTATGCTCTGTTTAATTGCTTGCTTCTTCAGGCCTTCTATTTATTTACTTTCTTTGGGGTTCTTATGCAATATCTAGATTATACTAGTCATCTTGGTTACTCCTAGTAGAACACCTTTGATTTTTAGATCTAGTTTCTTTGGCTGACGTTGTTGAGGCCATGAGGGCTATGTTGCATAGAAATTTTGAGAGCAGTGTTTTTTTGGAAAAAGTTTTCATGCCATTTCTTAATTAATCAAAAGTTTTTGAAATTAACCTTTCTAAATATAGAAAATAATTTTATGTACTAAATTTACCCTTCCAAAAATTTTTAAAAATAATTTTATAAACTCTAGATAACCTTTCTAAATATAGAAAATAATTTTAGGTACTAAATTGACCCGTCCAATATTTTTTTAAAATAATTTTATAAGCTATTGTGAACCTTTCTAAATATAGAAAATAATTTTATGCACTAAATTAACCCTTCTAAAAAATTTTAAAATTTTTTTTATAAACTCTAAAAAACCTTTCTAAATATAGAAAATAATTTGAGATACTAAATTGACCCTTCCAAAAATTTTTAAAAATAATTTTATAACCTCAAGATAACCTATCTAAATATAGAAAATAATTTTAGGTACTAAATTTATCCTTCCAAAATTTTTTTAAAATAATTTTATAAACTGGTGAAACTCTTTGACAACATAAAAAACCAAAAGCTCTGCCCTCCCTCTCTATCTATCCAAGGGATGGAAGGGCAGAGGCCAACGAAAAAAGTGCTCTCTGAACTGAACGTGAAAGTTGTTTTCCATCAGACGGCTGTTCCCGTAACTCTACTCTCGACTTGGATTATATATCCAAAAAGGTCCGCTCTCGGCCATTCCACACGCTGCCTAAATATAGAAAATAATTTTATGCACTAAATTAACACTTCCAAAAATTTTTAAAAATAATTTTACAACATCAAGCTAACCTATCTAAATATAAAAAATAATTTTAGGTACTAAATTGACCCTTCCAACAATTTTTAAAAGTAATTTTATAAACTCTAGATAACCTTTCTAAATATAGAAAATAATTTTGGGTACTAAATTGACCCTTCCAAAAATTTTTAAAAATAATTTTATACATTCTAGATAACCTTTCTAAACATAGAAAATAATTTTATGTACTAAATTTA